TGCAGAGTTGGATCATTGACAAGAAAACGTAAGCAGGAGCTTATGGCTTGGCCTGGCAGTAGTTGAGTGGTCCCATGACCTAGTAGAGCTGGATCATTCACAAGGCAACCTAGGCAGGAACCTATGGCATGAAGTGCCAGTGCTTGAGTGATTACATGATCCAGCTGAGGCCCATCATTCACAAGGCAACCTAGGCAAGAGCTGATGGCATGGCAGTGGTTAAGTAATCACATGACCTTGCAGAGTTGGATCATTGACAAGAAAACCTAAGCAGGAGCCTATGGCCTGGCCTGGCAGTAGTTGAGTGGTCCCATGACCTCGCAGAGCTGGATCATTCACAAGGCAACCTAGGCAGGAACCTATGGCATGAAGTGCCAGTGCTTGAGTAATAACATAATCCAGCTGAGCCCCATCATTCACAAGGCAACCTAGACAAGAGCTGAAGGCATGGCATGGCAGTGGTTAAGTGATCACATGACCTTGCAGAGTTGGATCATTGACAAGAAAACCTAAGCAGGAGCCTATGACTTGTCCTGGCAGTAACTGAGTGATCACATGACCTAGCAGAGCTGAATTAATCACAAGGCAACCTAGGCAGGAACATATGGCATGACGTGCCAGTGCTTGAGTAATTACATGATCCAGCTGATCCCCATCATTCACAAGGCAACCTAGCCAAGAGCTGATGGCATGGCATGGCAGTGATTAAGTGATCACATGACCTTGCAGAGTTAGATCATTGACAAAAAAACCTATGCAGGAGCCTATGGCTTGGCCTGGCAGTAGTTGAGTGATCACCTGACCTAGCAAAGTTGGACCAATCACAAGGCAACCTAGGTAGGAGCTGATGCCATGGTGTGGCAGTGGCTGAGTGATCACGTGGTCTAGTAGAGTTGGATCATTTACAAGACAACCTACACAGGAGCCAATGGCATGGCATGGCACGGCAGTAATTCTATGACCTAGCAAAGCCAGATTATCCACAAGGAAGCCTAGGCAGGTGCTTAAAAGCTAAGTTCACCGTTTTCTTCATTTACAGGCATGCACCCATTTTTTTTCAAACCATGCTTTAGTTGAGTGAACACATGACCTTCCAGAGCCAGATCATTCACAATGAGAGAGCATTGCATGATTGATAGGGAGTTTTTTTAGCAGCTAAACTCTCATATGCTGTATTCCCAGTGCGCGCGCCTGTGCACACGCACACACACACACACACCCTGTAAACACCAGGGGGAAAGGGGGGGCTTATAGTGAGTGACAGCCTGAAAACCTGCATCCTGTAGGATGGGTAGGAAGTAGCAATTTACATGAATCGCAGTGTGTTTACTTACCAGCTGCAAAATGCCAAAATAGGACATTAAATATCCAGCCGTGGCCGCATTAAGACCAAAGAAGTCAACGGAAATGATGGGAAACATGAGCATGAAGACACCTGCGGAGACACAAAGTATAATACTAGGGTCATTGGTTCGAATCCCATCCACGGCACCACCTGCCTGGAGTTTGCATGTTCTCCCTGTGCCTACGTGGGTTTCCTCTGGGTACTCCGGTTTCCTCCCACACTCCAAAGACATGCTGGTAGGTGAATTGGCTCCTGTCTAAATTGTCCCTAATATGTGTATGTATGAATGTGTTAGGGTTAGATTGGACACCCCCTTAGATTGTACACCCCTTGAGGGTTAGGGACCTTAGATTGTACACCCCTTGAGGGTTAGGGACCTTAGATTGTATGCCCCTTGAAGGTTGGGGACTGATATGAACAGGGGTGGACTGACCATTCAAGCACTCAGGCACTGCCCGAGGGCCCGGGGTCAGTAGGGGGGCCCCATAAAAATGCCCCTGGTACCTTTTATAGACTTTTTTGGGTGTGGTTTGAGTGTGGGCAAGGACACAGGGGCCCCATGATTCCTTATTGCCCTGGGGCCCCATGAGTTGTCAGTCCGCCCTTGGATGTGAATGTACAATATATATGTAAAGTGCTGCGTAAATTGACGTCGCTATATAAGTACCTGAAATAAATAAATAATAAAATAAAATGGAAGTCTGTATTTTAGGTAGAAATAAACAACACTTCAAACCATGACTTGGAGCTTACACAGGGAATGTCTCCCCGCCCCCACATGACAGAGCTGGGTACCTATGCAGCCAACTACCAAGGAGCGAGTCACCTTCGTACCCAGTGTGGTCAAGCAGAGCAGCAGGGGAGCGAATAGAAGCATGTATTGCTGCTCAGCCGTCTATAAGAGTGAACCTGTTATTTACAGTGCCATGAAAAAGTCTTCACACCCCTTGAAATGTTCCCCATGTTGTCACGTTACAACCAAAAACATCAATGTATTTTATTGGGTTTTGATGTGATAGACCAACACAAAGTAGCACATAATTGTGAAGTGGAAGGAAAATGAGAAATGGGTTTCAACATTTTTTTTTACAAATAAATATGTGATAAGTGTGGTGGCATTTGTATTCAGCCCCTCGGAGTCAATACTTTGTAGGACCCCCTTTCACTGCAATTCCAGCTGCAAGTCTTTTTGGGGATGTCTCTTTGCACATCTAGAGAGGGACTTTTCTGCCCATTCTTCTTGGCAGAATCGCTCAAGCTCTGTCAGATTGGATGGAGAGCGTCTGGGGAACAGAAATTTTCAAGTCTTGCCACAGATTCTCCATTGGATTTGGGTCTGGACTGTGACTGGGCCATTCTAACACATGAATATGCTTTGATCTAAACCATTCCATTGTAGCTCTGGCTGGATGTTTCAGGTCGTTGTCCTGCTGGAAGGGGAACCTCCACTCCGGTCTCAAGTCTTTTGCAGACTCTAACAGGTTTTTATCTAAGATTGCTCTTTATCCATCCATCTTCCCATCAACTCTGACCAGCTCCCTTGTCCCTGCTGAAGAAAAACATCCCCACAACATGATGCTGCCACCACCATGTTTCACGGTGGGGATGGTGTGTTCAGAGTGATGTGCAGTGTTAGTTTTCACATGGCTTCTCGCAAACTGCAAACGGGAGTTCTTGTGGCTTTCTTTCAACAATGGCTTTCTTCTTGCCACTCTTCCATAAAGGACAGATTTGTGGAGTGCATGACTAATAGTTGTCCTGCGGACAGATTCTCCCACCTCAGCTGTGGATCTCTGCAGCTCCTCCAGAGTTCCCATGGGCCCACTTGGCTTCTTCTCTTTTGAATGCTCTCCTTGCCCGGCCTGTCAGTTTAGGTGGACGGCCATGTCTTGGTAGGTTGGCAGTTGTGCCATACTCTCCATTTTCGGATGATGGATTGAACAGTGATCCGTGAGATGTTCAAAGCTTGGGATATTTTCTCATAACCTAACCCTGCTGTAAACTTCTCCACAACTTTATCCCTGACCTGTCTGGTGTGTTTCTTGGCCTTCATGATGCTATTTGTTCACTAATGTTCTCTAACAAATCTCTGAGGGATTCACAGAACAACTGTATTTATACTGAGATTACATGACACACAGGGGGGCTCTAGTTACTAATTAGGTGATTTCTGAAGGCAATTGGTTCCACTAGATTTTAGGTATAGGTATCAGAGTAAAGGGGGCTGAATACAAATGCACGCCACACTTTTCACATATTTATTTGTAAATAATGTTGAAAACCATTTATCACTTTCCTTCAGCTTCACAATTAGGTGCCACTTTGTGTTGGTCTATCACATAAAATCCCAATATTACATTTATGTTTTTGGTTGTAACATGACAACATGTGGAAAATTTCAAGGGGTATGAATACTTTTTCAAGGCACTGTACCTCTGCATGGGTGAAGTACAGGTTCTCTTTAAAAAAAAGTCACATTAGGAAAAACACATTACCTTCTAGGCTACAGATTAATTCTTCAATGCTTCCGTTTAGTTGTGAATAGAATTGCTGGACGATTCCATAGAGCACCACATCTTTCTCGCTGCCAGAAATGGCCTTGAGCTCCTCCCCTGTTTGCAGTCCAATTTGTGGATGTTCCTGATGTAGCACCCACCTAGCTAGGCTGTTAGGTAAATTTCATTTTTGGTTCCAATGTTGTGAGTGGAGTAGTTATTGACTGTGTTGGCCTGATAAGGATTACGGAGCTGAGACCTTGATTCCTTCCCCCTGCCTCTGAAAGACGTTTTCAGAGCATAATGCTGGGAGATTCCAATGATCAGTTGAATATTTATCATGCCCCAGCCATTCCCTGGAAGGAGGCATCCAGAAGGTGGCTGGGGAGATGAAAATGGGCAGGAGGATTGTAAAGAGGAATTTCTTCTCATCAGGGAGGGTTCCAGTTCACATGGGTGGGTTGTTGCTCCTAGGAGATAGACAGAGGGTCAAGAAGTGGCTGTCTAGGCCTCAGCAGCTGCTGGGCTGGGGGCCCTTGGAAAGATTGCCTGAAAATTACACTTGCTGGAGGGCAGTGGTGTCCCTAGGTGGGTGAGGGGGGTGCACGCCGCATCAGGTGACACCTATCTCACGGGGTGACACCAAAAAGTTTTAAAGTAAGCCGACAATCCCCGCAAGATGGATCAGATCTGCGGTAACATGTGGTGTCACCCCTCCAGAGGTGGGCAGTCCCTGTTGTGCACACAAAGCCTGGCTCTTCCCCTTCCTGTGTCCTCCCATTCTTCTTCTGTCCCCAATCCATCTGTTGATAGCACAGAGCTCTAGGAGTCACTCTGAACATGCTCAGTTTGGTGTGTATGGCTAAAGCGGTTTTTGATTTTTTTTTCTTGGTGGAGGGGAGGGTACATATGATCAGCACAGGGCCAATCAGCACTGTCCAGACAGAGGGTCAGGAGTTATGCAGCCTCATAGGACAGTCAGAGGAGAATGAAAACTCCTCCTATAAGCTTTACCCAGTGCTCAGCTGGACACTGACAGAAATAACAAGACAGCTATATATTGCTGATGAGAAAAGGTATTTGGCAGTTTATATTTACTAAAATAATTGCATTGCCATGTTCTGTGTACTGTGGGAGACCGGATAAAGTGAATGCAGGGTCCTGGAGAGCGGATATAGTGAATGCAGGTCCAGGTTGACCGATATAGTGAATGCAGGGTCCAGGGAGAGCGGATATAGTGACTGCAGGGTCCGGGGAGAGAGGGATATAGTGAATGCAGGGTCCAGGAGACCGGATATAGTGAATGCAGGGTCCGGGGAGACCAGATGATAGTGATATGCGAGGTCCGGGAGAGCGGATATAGTGAATGCAGGGTCCGGGGAGACCGGATATAGTGAATGCAAGGTCCAGGGATTGGACCGGATATAGTGAATGCAGGGTCCGGGGAGAGCGGATATAGTGAATGCAGGGTCCAGACCGAATATAGTGGAATGCAGGGTCCGGGGAGGCCGGATATAGTGAATGCAGGGTCCGGGATACCGGATATAGTGAATGTAGGGTCCGGGGAGACCAGATATTTAATGCAGGGTCCGAGGGAGAGAGCGGATATAGTAGATGCAAGGGGTCCGCCCTTGTGAGAGAGCGCAATATAGTGAATGAGGGTCCGGGGTCACTGGATATAGCAATGCAGGGTCCGGGAGAGCGGATATAGTGAATGCAGGTCCAGGGAGACCGATATAGTAGGTCCGGGAGTATAGTGAATGCGAGGTCCGGGGAGAGTTTCGGGCAGGGTCCCGGGGAATATGAATGCAAGGTCCCACCGGATATATAAGTCCGGGGAGGAGCGAATATAGTGAATGCAAGCTCAGGGACACGGATATAGTGAATGCGGAAGGTGGATTACGGGGAGACCGGATATAGTGAATGCAGAGGTCCAGTGGGATGGAGACTAGATAGTGAATTGCATGGGGGTCCGGGAGCGGATATAGTGAATGCAGGTCCGGGAGAGCCGGATTAGTGAATGCAGGTCCGGGGAGAGCGGATATAGTGAATGCAGGTCCAGGGAGACCGGATATAGTGGTAATTGCAGGGGGAGAAAGCGAGGTCCGGGGAGAGCGGAGATAGTGAATGCAGGGTCCGGGGAGACTGGATTATAGTGAATGCAAGGTCCAGGGAGACCGGATATAGTGAATGCAGGGTCCGGGAGAGCAGATATAGTGAATGCTGGGGGGGTCCAGGGGGAGACCTGGATATATAGTGAATGCAGGGTCCAGGGGGAGGGTGAGACCAGACTAGATATAGTGAATGCAGGGTTCCAGAGGATATAGTGAATGCAGGGTCCGGGAGAGGGATATAGTGAATGCAGGGTCCAGGGAGACCGAATATAGTGAATGCAGGGTCCCCCCGGGGAGTGAATGCAGGGTCCGGGGAGACCGGATATAGTGAATGTAGGGTCCGGGGAGACCAGATATGGTGAAAGCAGGGTCCGGGGAGACCTGGATATAGTGAATGCAGGGTCCGGGCAGGGGGGTCGGAATGCAGGGTGTGAGATACAGGTGAATGCAGGGTCCGGAGCGACCAGGATATAGTTGTGAATGCAGGGTCCGGGAGAGCGGATATTGTTTAGTTTTTTTACCCGTGGTCCGGGGGAGAGGATATAGTGAATGCAGGGTCCAGGGGATATAGTGGTATGCAGGGTCCGGGATAGACAGTCAGATATATAGGGAGAGAGCGGATATAGTGAATGCAGGGTCCGGGGAGACTGATATAGTGAATGCAGGGTCCGGGAGATATAGTGAATGCAGGGTTCCAGGATATAGTGTGCAAGGTCCAGGGGAGACCGGATATAGTGAATGCGGTGTCGCGGGGTCAGGGGGAGAACCAGATATAGTGAATGCAGGGTCCTGGGGAGAGCAGCTATAGTGAATGCAGGGTCCAGGGAGACCGGTAATATAGGAATGCAGGGTCCGGGGAGGCCGGAATATAGTAATGCATATATAGTGAATGCAGGGTCCGGGGAGACCAGATATAGTGAATGCAGGGTCCGGGAGACCGGATATAGTGAATGCAGGGTCCGGGGAGAGCAGATATAGTGAATGCAGGGTCCGGGGAGTATATAGTGAATGCAGTCCGGGGAGACCAGATATAGTGAAGGGTGCAGGGTCCCAGGGTCCGGAGAGAGCGGATATAGTGAATGCAGGGTCTGGGAGACCGCAGATATAGTGAAAGGGTCCTGGGAGAGCGGATTAGTGCAGGGTCCGGGGAGACCAGATATAGTGAATGCAGGGTCCGGGGAACCAGATATAGTGAATTGAATGCAGGGTCCGGGGGGTCGGATATAGGGATGCAGGTCCAGATATAGTGAATGCAGGGTCCAGGGGATATAGTGAAGAGCGGGGAGGCCGGATATAGTGAATGCAGGGTCCGGGGAGACCGGATATAGTGAATGCAGGGTCCGGGAGACCGGATATAGTGAAAGCAGGTCCGGGATCCCAGATATAGTGAATGCAGGGTCCAGGGAGGCCAGATATAGTGAATACAGGGTCTGGGGAGAGCGGATATAGTGAATGCAGGGTCCGGGGAGACCAGATATAGTGAATGTTGGGTCCGGGGAGATCAGATATAGTGAATGCAGGGTCCAGGGAGGCCAGATGTAGTGAATGCAGGGTCCAGGGAGACTAGATATAGTGAATGCAGGGTCCGGGGAGACCAGATATAGTGAATGCAGGGTCCAGGATTTAGTAACACTTTAATGGCACTACAAGCATGACACATGTTTGCAATGCGTTTCCTAAACATGTTTTGTATCGCGTTCAGGAAAATGAAGTGTGAATGGAGCCTTAGACTTTACTCCTGATGCTGTCCTATTACAGTCTTTATACAATGATAATGGAAACGAAATTCATATTTTTGTTCCTAATTATTACCAATCGGGAAAGCAGAGAGAACCTTCACTATGAACACCGGCATGACTCCAGGATAATTCAAGAGCCTGAGCAGTTTCTCCGACACTGAAGACGCTGGTAGACTTGGGTTTACCTGGAATGGAAATTGGCGGTTGGTGAGGGTGTAAATTCCCAGAATGATATGATCAGGCCTGAAGCGATTAACGTGTAATGACAAAGCCTTACTCTGTTCAGCGGCGGGCTCGCCTTGCGATTTCTTGGTTTGTACCGGTATGTAAATTAAAACGATGACACAGCAAACGAGGCTGGCAGCCAGGGCGATGAAGGAGGGCGTATACAGTCTGCAAATACAAAGGGATGCATGTCAGTATGGAGTCAAAACATAATTAGCGGTAATTGGGTCTCTAATATATGCCACACATTACCGGCAGCAGATGGTTTCAAGAGGACCTGTCACCCAACATACAACTAAATGAGTGTTGGGGAGCAGGGGCGGACTGACAACTCATGGGGCCCCCGGGCAATAGGGGATCATGGGGCCCCTGTGTCCTTGCCCAAACTCAAAAAAGCCTATGAAAAAGGTACCAGGGGCATCTCATGGGGCCCCCTACTGACCCCAAGGCCTCGGGCAGTGCCTGAGTTTCCAAATGGTCAGTCCGCCCCTGGTTGGGGCTCATTCACACACCAAATGTTTCATTTGCCTCTTCTTTGCGTTTCTGGAGATCAAACCAAATAAGGGGATTTTTTTTAGGACTTGTAGAGCCGGTTCACACCATAGAAACGCAGTCCAGATGCGTTCTGGATGTGTTTCCGCATGCGCATTTTGACATGTATTTGGTGCGTTCCCGTGCATTTTTGATGCGTTCCAGTTTATTTTTTTCCCCCTCTGTTTTTCTTCAACTTAAATAGGGACGTGTGCGTTCCAGAGCATGTTTGGTGAGTTTTGGTGCATTCCAGTGCGTTTTATATGCGTTTTTACCGTGTTCCAGTACAGTTCTGTGCAGGAAAAATGCAGCCCGTTCTACTTTTTTTCTGCAACCGGAACGCACTGGAACTGCAAGCGCTGATGTAAACTATGACATTGATAACCATATAACCTACTTTCTGAGCATTTTGGATGCAGAAAAAAGCAACTGAAACTCATGCAGTGTGAACTGACCCTAAGGCAGTGTTTCTCAACTCCAGTCCTCATGGACCCCCCAACAGGTCATGTTTTCAGGATTTCCCTCAGATGAAACAGCTGTGGTAATTACTAAGGCAGTGAAACTGATCAAATCACCTGTGCAAAATAATGAAAATCCTGAAAACATGACCTGTTGGGGGTCCATGAGGACTGGAGTTGAGAAACACTGCCCTAAGGGCTCATGTACACTGCAGCTGATAAACTCACATTTAGGATCTGTTCAGCATTTTTTTCAGCAGCCCCTGAACTCTCCCTAATGTTTCCCATGTCTCCATGTACACATCGTCATTTACAGTCCTTTACAGGCAGTTGAGTTTACAGTCGTTTTTGTGAACGCAGAAAACTTGCATTCAGGAGTAGATTTTTATCAGCATTTCAAACGCCAAAAGCTTGCAAATGCGGCTAAACGCATTTATAAGCGTTTGCGTTTGAAATTTTTTTTTAACTCTTCTATTTCCAGATGCTGTCCAGAGCCTTTTTTTATCATGAAAAAATGCATGCAAAGCGTTTTCTCACTCAGATGGACCCGGTACACCATACTTTGAGGTTTCGCATGAAAGAAAATATGTTAGACACTGCTGCAATAATTTCTGCACAGAAATGAGCCGGAACACATCCAAACACCACAAAAAAAAAAGACAGCTAATCTCAACACATACTGCTCTCTCTGCTTCTGCTCTCTCTATTTCTCTCCAAATGTCTGAATTAGTTATTTTTTTACTGTTTTTCAGTGCATTCTGGGCATTTTGGAAGGTCTCCTGAGGTTATCTTTAAAAAATGCTTCTAAATGTGGTATGCAAATATATAGGTATGCAAACGCGGCAAAACAGACGTTTTTTTAACCTAGGTTTTCCAGCAATCAGTTTCCATTGTTCAGAAGCAGGGTCGGACTGACCATTTGGAAACTCGAGCACTGTTCGAGGGCTCAGGGTCAGTAGGGGGCCCCATGAGATGCCCCTGGTACCTTTTTCATAGGCTTTTTTGAGTTTGGGCAAGGACACAGGGGCCCCATGATCCCCTATTGCCTGGGGGCCCCATGAGTTGCAGTCCGCCCCTGTTCAGAAGTGTCCCGTGTACATGGAGCCTTAAGGTACAAATTTCACAAAAAAAATATTATTTAAAAAGAAAATATTATTTTCTTGTTTAATGCTCCTTAAGACCCTTTATTGCCATACAAAACTACAGACAAAAGTCAATAAATTTCTATCAATGATATCATCCAATGTATGCAGATTACTAAACAGAAGGAAATATTGTTTTGATTGATCTATTAGGAACGTCGTACCAAGACTATCTGCCAATCGTACTATTGACCTTTAGGCTCTGTTCACACGATGTAGCGCAACAGAGCGCGCACGTGTTTCCGCACGCTTCCCGTACGCTCTCATGCATTGCCTATAGGGCAGCTCATTCAGTTTAATGGGCTGCCCTACATGTGAGAAATGCGCAAAAGTAGTCCATGAGCGTTTTGCAAAATCTGGCTGCACTGAACTGTATGGTCCTGTGGCACCATGCATTTTGGCATGCACGTAAACACACAGATACATGGGGGTTAATAATGTATGTAAGATCAATGCGCAAATCCCCAATCAACTGAAGTCACAAAGCTACAAGTATATAAGAGGATATCGCCTCTTAACCACTTCCCGTCCGGCCCATGTACATAAACGGCCAGACGGGAGCAGTGCAGGAGCAGGTTGCTGTTCATAAACGGTGCCTGCATTTATAGGCTGTGTGCGGCACCGCGATCCGGTGCCTGCAGTGTCCGAACCGATCGCTGTACGGGACCTCTGTGTGAGGTCCGGATCATGTGATCAGTGATTGGCCAATAAGTGATCACATGAATAGTAGTAAGCAAGATGTCACTTCTGACATCATTGCTTACTATCAGGGGCGGACTGACCATTTGGAAACTCAGGCACTGCCCGAGGGCCCGGTGTCAGTAGGGGGCCCCATGAGTTGCCCCTGGTACCTTTTTCATAGGCTTTTTTGAGTTTGGACAAGGACACAGGGGCCCCATGAACCCCTATTGCCCGGGGGCCCCATGAGTTGTCAGTCCGCCCCTGCTTACTATGGGTGAAATCTGTGAATGATCACAGAGATCACATGGTACAGGGCTATTCACAACAGTCTTGTACCATGTGGCAAGCTGTGACCAATCACAATGCACACAGTATTTCTCAATGGCTGCAAGAATGCAGCCAGAGAGAAGGAGAAATTATTGCTTATATAGCCTTTATGGGTGTAAAAGCAATCAGTGTAAAAAAAACAAATCTTCATCACCCCCCACAAGTAGTACAGTGTCATCTGTACTATTAATACAATGGTGCAACATACAATACCACACAAGGATCTATCAAGCAGACAACGTGTGCATTTCTGCTGACACTTTTCTCAATAAACACCTAAAATATTAACTCTTAGGAGAGTCTTACGAATATTAACTCTTACGAATGAACGCAACTGCAATCATTAATATATAACACTGTTCAACAGGTAAAAAGTTTTGGGCATAAAATTAGCTAATCTTACATAATTTTGGGGTGCTGAAATGAAAATGACCCTAAAAAATGTTGATTGGCTCTAGTTTCCATGATATATTCACCCATCTAATGACGTAAGCCATTCAAAATTATGATGCAACTTCAGCTGCATATTGCGCAATTGATAC